GAAACCTACAACAGAGTGTCACAGCAGCTGGAGACTGGCTTCAAAGATGGCACCTGCTGGTTACCGCAAAGAAAACAGTCATCCTCCCGTTCTACCACAATAACCGCCTTTCTGAACAGCGACCCCGGATCACCCTCAGGAATAGTCCGCTTACCGTAGCACAAAAACACAAACACCTCGGAATAATCTTTCAGCATGACCTCCGTTGGACGGAGCATGTTGAATGCATTATTAAAAAATCTCTCAAGTCTTTCAATATTCTTTTTAGACTAAGGTCTTCACTCACCAGTGATTTTTTATCTCACATCTATTACTCGTGATTCTTTATCTCACATCTATCAGACATACATACTACCTGAATTCTCATATGCGAGCAATGCTCTCACACCGTTGTCACACACTTCCCTTGACAGGCTAGAACGACTCCAGCGGAAAGCCGCCAGAATATGTCTCCACCTTCCACTTTACACACACTTAGAACACTCCCACCTTTTGCATCGCATCAAATGGCCAACATTATTTTCACGCTTTAAAGTTAAACATATACTCTTCGCGCATTCTCTGCGCCACAATTGTGCCGCACCACATAATTATACTCTCGCTACATACTGCTAGCAACGTGCAACCTTCGTATCATTTAAATCACTCTCGTACTTGGCACTTGCCAACTCCGAGGACTGATCGCTGTCTCCATTCTCCCCTGTAGAAGGCCCTTCATTACTTTAATTGCTTGCCCACCCAGCTTTGCGAAAACCCTTCTTGTACTCTCTTCAAATCCCAGATATCCCTGCTGTTGCACAACTCTGTATGCTCGTGTGGCGACCACCCCTGCCCGTACGCTTAAGTACACAACTATGTATGCTCGTGTAGCGACACCCTTGCCCGTACACTTAAAAGTAGTCATTAACCCCTAGGCTCTGCCCACCCAATTCTTCCTCACTCTTTTTCCTTTTAATATCTTTCTCCTTTCTTACACTATCATCTCTTATTGGCCACTGGCTATCGTGAGAGTAAAGATTTGAAAATTACGGGCAGGGTAGTTTGGCATTTCCCTTGCAGGCGTTACCGTATTTCCCCGTAAGTTAGTACGTACTAACTTTCGACCTTAGCAGCCACATGAGTACTAACTTTTTTTTTTTTTTTTTTTTTTTTTTACAATTAACTTCAATACGAACTTAGAAGTTGCGACTTCTGCGGTAATGTCATGAAGTTGGTTGCTCCAACGAGGAGCACACGCTTCTTGCCGAACTTGACACTTGACTGACTCACGAAACGTTCGTGAGTCAGTCAAGTGTCAAGTTCGGCAAGAAGCGTGTGCTCCTCGTTGGAGCAACCAACTTAATTAACTTCAAGTACTTTTTTCTTTTCTTTTTTTTCTTAGTAGTAAAAGCCTCTTTTACGGGCGAACAAAACACAATTATTATTTGCCATGGCGGAGGATTGAAAACAAATCACATAATGATGACGTCGCATGTGATCAGACAGCAAGAGAAGCATAGCATAGTCCGCACAATCAAGGGACACCCTAGCCTCCACGACAGCCAGGGAGGCACAGCCATCCATTGGAGGCTGCCAAACTCGGCGAGCCCCACGCAGACACATGACACTCGAACGCAGCAGGGCGAAAGACAGCCTGCAGCGGAGGTGGGCAATTAGCACAGAATACGCCTCCCTCCCACGTAGCGACTGGAGATGTGCAATCCGGCTCACCAGTGCAGCGGCACCCTTTCCGCATCCTCCGGTGGAAGAGAGCACAAAGGGGAGAAAAGTGGATCGCTCCACTTCTCGGACTCTCCGATCATATCGACGCCGTTTCTCCTGCTCATGGTGCCGGTAGCAGCCAGAGAGAGAGGAGGTGCGGTTCGAAGACGCATAAGGGTTGAACACCCGTACATCAATAAAAGTGCGTTCGAACCGACCCCCCCAAACTCCACTGGCCACCACATCCAAACGAGCTTGATCCTCGGTTGATGCTGACCGGAGCTGAAACTGCTCCCCAGTCAGGGGTTGGAGATGTGGCTCCACTGCGACGTTGTGGGCGACACCCTTCAATGAGCTTGCCAGTATGTCGCGCACCTCGTTGTGGCGGATCGAGGGGAACCCACCGAAAGGACAGGACAAGGCGTGAGCAGTGGTGAATGCCTTCTCGCAAACACAGGTGGTGGGCAGGCGAGAAGGCGTCCAACCGTAACGGAGGCAGAGGCCATCCCGGAATTCCCCCTTCGACAAAGCGAAGCCATGGCGAGCGATGGGTCGGCAGGTAAGCCAGCTTGATGCTCCCTTCTCCTCTGCCAGACTGATAGCGAGATCGAGTTCGCTGTGTTCGGTGCGGAACGTATCGGCAGCTATCTTCATTGCCTTTCTGGCCTCAGAGCGAGCCTGACTCTTGGCCGTGCGGACACAGGCAAGAGCATCACCGAGGTGCTCTTCTTGCGCCATGATCTTGTCGTGCAGCGCAGTGGTGATTAGCCTGGAGGTGCCGTACTGTGAGCCAAAAGTGGCAGGGTTGGCCACGCCGAGGCCTCCATGCCGGCAGGGGAAAGTGAGCAAAATGCGTTCAGCTTCACTGGGCGCCGTCCGTCCACTAATGGCAGGGATTAGGCGGCGGTGGATGATGTCCTCCAGGGGTGCCAGCTGTTCTGCAGCACCATCGAGAACCCGACACAGGAAGGACCACCGGTGTTGGAGGCGAGTACTAACTTTCGGGGGTGGTACTATCTTTCGGGTAGTACTTTTTTAACGGGGGTAAATGACACGCAGTGGGAAGCCTGCGCAACTCTAGTGTCCGTGCATATGATGTATGCACTGTACGGTGTCTGTACATGTAGGACAGGTACGAACTTACTATCTTTCTGGGGAACTGTCTTTCGGGGTGATAACCTCGGCAGTGGAAAATGTATTTTTTATGGGGGGGGGGTGTTACGAAGGTAGCCTCAATTGAAGTATTATTCGTTCTCGTTCTGCTTCTTTGAATGTTACTGAACAGTTTCCCTCTCCATGCTCGGCTAAATCGTTGCCTGTACGCGCCACGTCTAGCACCTTGTTTCTATCTACAGGGGGTACTAAGTCATTGGGGAGAACTTACGGGGAAATACGGTAGTGCTACAGTTCTGTAGAAAAGGGTGGTAACTAACTGTGAATGGTTGGACGCACCAAGCTGGGCAGCATCATCGACAGAAAATACAGATTGGGGACGATTAGTAGTGAGCAAGTCTAGGCACGACAGAGTTCCGTTGGGAGAAGTGTGAGTGGGAAAATCTACCAGCTGGGAGAGACCAAAGCTGGAGAATATATGCGAAAGTTCCTTTCCAGTGTGTGATGTAGCATCACCACCCAACCAGTCAGAGTTGTGAGCATTGTAGTCACCAGTGAGGAATATATTAACAGATGAGAGGACTACAGCCCGTAGGGTATCGTCATCATGTCACAAAATGAGGTAAGTTCAGGTAGGGATTGCGAAGGAGGGCGATACTGACAGCCAATGAGTATAGGATTAGCACCCAGGTCTGCAGGAACTCCAAGGTCAACCCATATGGTCTCACATTGGGGAAAGTCATGTTCTGAGCGCTGGACTGCATGTCCCATCTGGTACAAGTATGGCAAGACCACCATAACCTCGGAACTGGGGCTCTTGGGTTCGCTGGTATTGGCTTATCTCGACGGAAGCACGTATAACCTGCTACACTGAGCATATTTATGGGGCAGAGCCAGGTTTCTGTCAGACATAGGATAGTGGGTGTGTTGGATCGACACAATGCATCGAGTTCGAGGAGTTTGTTCAACACTGAGAGACAAATAATCGTGACAATAGTGATATGCGCGTTTCCTGATGATCGTACTTGTAGTAATATGTGAAACTCAGAGTTGTGACAAAGCTTCCAATCTCTCTTGTGTCACAATAGTGACAATTATTATGTTGAGTTTTAGTAAAGTATGGGAAGGCCTGGGCACTCATCATAAGTTTAGGAATTATCCGTTTTGTCCAACACTAATAATAACAGGATAATGGCGAGTAGGAATGTGTAACAAATAGCACAAAAAACGACTGATGTGATCTTGTCATTCAACGACCTGATGATTCTCTCTTTTTTACTTGGTCCGCGTCAGCAATATTGTCGCTTGTCTTTCGACAATTTGAACTTAGACTTTGGACATCAACTTGTGCACTTGAAGTGATAAAACGTGGTACGATGGAAGGTAAGGTATAGAATGACAAATAGCTATGAGGAATTTATTGTCCAAGGAAGGGTTCATACTATTTTCGGTCCTCCTCGTCGCTGCTCTCGGCGCTGGTGACAAATAGTTTTGCTCGGGATCGACTCTTTTGCTTTTGAAAGCTCATCTCTCTTCCTCTCCGCTGCCTGGCTATTTTCTAAAGAGAAGTCGATCGCGACGGTTGCCTTCTCTATAGGACTTTGCGTTGGCAGAACGACAGCCTGTGTGGTTCTAATCAGACGTCGTTCTTTGCAAGATTTTATTTTGAACGACGACGACGCGTACAGTACTTGCAAATCTCCTTGTCGCGCTGGATACTCCAGGCGTTGAGCTGGAGGTAAGGGAGCTGCGATCTCAGCTTGACGAGCGATCCCTGAGGTGAGCGATCTCGGCCGTTCAGCAAAATGGAGCTGATTCCGAGTAGCCAATTATTTCTTTCTTGTGGCTTGCACTGCTCTTGCCTGCACAGAGTAACAAGATCATCTATTTTGATGCGGCGCTTTATCAATCAAAATCACCCACCCGTCGCTCTCGAAATCCACTCGAAATCTAGCTAGACCTTTCAGGTACTAGTAAACTAACTTACTAACCAAAATTGGGATGAAATGGGCTGCCAAGTGAGCATTGGTGACATATAAACAAAGCTGAAAGATAAGCGACAATATCGCTGATGCGGACCAAGTAATTAATTTGAATCCTTTGCTCTCCATCTGAGTTTACAAATTTTTACCAGTTATTGTTGGCCAGCATATGTTTGCGGATTTGCTTTGTGCTATCTTGTTCAGGTTCGGTGGGTGTGACGTGCGTTGACAATCCTATACTTCTTCATCATGTCAGCAAAATTTGCAGTTCGAGACAAGTTTTCCATTCTAAAGTAATTCACCATTCCTGGATATCAACAATATTCCTTCCAAAATGCGATGACGGGTACAAGATTGATAGCTATCCTTATCCTGCACATAGTTATTTCAATTGTAAGGTCATGAGACTGGATTACCTTCCCTCGGAACTCCCTGGAGACTTTCTAGTCTATATTGGGGAAATATTATGCAGCGGTATTAAATGTCAACGTAAGTGATAGTGGGAAATGTGACTTGCAGTCTCTAACATTTTTGCACACATTGCACCAACACACATGTACAGGTAGAGATCTATTATAGCGTTGATATTTGAAGACGTACGATTTGATCACAATCGCCGATTATCACTACATGTGATTGGACAGGATACGGACAGGGTAGTGATTTTAAAAGGTGTGTAAGTGATAACTTTACGACTTAGCCACGATGACATTTTGCAAACTAGATGTGTATCATACATGAACATGTAAATACCATACCATGATACCGAGTCTTGAACAGTACATAATAATGAGCCGGCCCGTGTATAGGAACAGGTACCGTAGGTCTGGCAGGTGCCACATCGATGATTCGCCAAAAAAGGTGTGTGGCTGCACTGATTGGACATCGACTGTAGCCGAATCTCGTTGATGAGACCAGTGCTGCCAACCTTCCGTACTTTTCCGTATTTGTACAGAAAATCACTCCTTCGTCCGCTGAATTTGAGCAAAATGGCACGGAAAATTGAAAAGGATCGATCAGCTGCAGATATATGTATGTAGAAACATGGCAAACGCAAGCTGAGCGATGGAAATCCCTCTGCCAAAGTGAGGGCATGAAAGACTTCGGCTACATGCAACAAAAAATATCATGTCGTGGTACAAGTCACGCATGTTTTGCACTAGCAACCACCGACTGGCATGTGAGTGTCAAAAAAGCACAACACAAGCCATGTACACGGCAGTACGAAAAAAAACTGCAAAATACGGAAAATCAGAAGTCACAGTACGGAAACACAGACCCAGTTAGTTGGCAGCACTGTGAGACGGTGCCAAAGAGTACCAATAGCGACTATGCAGGGGCTTCTACCGCAGAGAAGCTTAGGTGGTGGTTACTATAGCAGACTTAATAACACCAGTATTTTGGCCTCCGATGTCCGATGATGTTGATATGCTCCATAGCCGTGGCTGCCCGGGAGATGATCGACTTTGTAGGTGGGAGATTTTCGTGATGAGAATGCAGAGCAGCAATCAGCAGCAGGTCAGAGTGTGCTTGGAGATACCTAGACAGGCTGATGTACTTCCTCTCCAGCAGATGCTCACCCGACACAATCCCTCAGCCACCCTCAGATCTCGGCAGGCAGTGAAAACGGATGGTGGAAGATTGTGGATGGTGTCCTCTGACTGCGCAGAGTGCACATCTGACATTCCTGTCGAAGGTTGCAATAGCAGCCTTCGTCCATGGCACAATACACAAGCCATACGACAGCACTGGGATAACATAACAGTAACTGTTTAAAAGCCTTTGTGGTCTGCTCATCGATGGTCAGTTGCGGGACCATGTTAGTCTGCAACAGGTGGAGTGTCAGGAGCTTGTAACGCTCATTGTGATTCATGAGTTGACGATTGATAACGCTCTCCATGATCTTAGAGATTATGCTAAGCAGTGAAAACTAAATTCACGGTTCGCTTGAAACTGGGCGATAATTCCTCATGGCAGATAATGAAGATCGCTTGTGGATTGGAACCACGCTGGCAGTCTTCCCAATTTGTGGCTGGGCTCCGTGCTGGAAGCAAAGAGCAAAGAGCTGACATAGTGGCTTGGCAAGTTCTCTGCCGGATTCTTCAAGACACGAGCGGAAATATCGTCGGGTTCAGTCGCCTTTGAGGCATCCAGACGAGCTAAAAGCCGGTGGATTGCATCGGGACTAAAGTGTACTGTCGTTAGTGCAGGTGCGCCAGTGAATGCTGTGTCCGGTGAGTCCATCGTAGTAAGGTCGCGGCCTTGTACACTGCATTTGTTGGAAAAGAAACGCGCGAAAGCCTCCGATTTCTCATAACTTGTGGGCCTCTCGCAAACTTCGCTATCAACGAGCAGGAGAATGTCAGTGTTCCGACCCTCGCCACAAGCGCACTTTACCTTCGTCCACAAATCCTTCTCCTTCTGGAACCCATTTGACAAGCTATGTCTGAGGCTGTTCTCTCTTTGGAAACTCTGGATCTAATCAGGACAGCGATAGCATTGTTTACAAAACGGGTAAACTCATGTTTCAGTGCAAAGTTGTGAGGGTGTTTCCTCCAAGTACGCCAGCCTTGGTCCTTCTCCTTCAGGGGCGTAGGAGGGGTTTTGGAAGTGGTACGACCGAAGGTCGGCGCGGCTGAAGGCCGTGTTGGAGGGGGTCGGGGGACCTTCCGCGGGAAAATTTTGTAAAAAAGACACAAAATCCTGCGTTCTGGGAACTTCTGGCACAGATCTGGCGAAGTGTGCAGTCGAGTCAAGTACAGTACTGAGTACGACTGCAGATACATGACAGATCTACGACTGCAGATGCATGGCAGATCTACGAGTAGATCTACCAGCCTAGAAAAAGGTCAATGTCTGATGCGCATACAGTATATGCATCGATGGATCCTGATTTTTGTATTACGGTTTTGCACGTTCCAGACGGACCACACTTTTTTTTTTAGCCGAAAAGTGGAACGGAAATGGTCGTACCTGTCGTAGCGGGTGCTACGCCCCTGTCCTTCATTGCGGCTGCTCACTCAGGTGTCCACCATTTCGGATCCGTTGAGTTCACTGTCAGTGTCATGGACGGAACGAACTGGGACACTACAGTGTACGCGGAAAGTGCCTTTCCCGTCTCTGGATTTCACGTACTTCCACGAAGTACGAACTTCGAAGACACGGCTTTATTCGACCCCAATACGAAGGTTAAAAAACGGACTCCGGTTGCAATAACAACGTTGCTTTTAACTTCCTTTCGACTACTTTCGAATTTCACCGTTTGAAAAAATTTCAGATTTTTGATTTTCTGTTATTTTGTGCACTGCGTATGCGTGCCTGTGCAGCTTGTATCGGCATGGCAGAGTGACATCATGGCTTTTCTAGTGCTTGCTCGTGATCTACACATTCTATTATATTCGTCCTGCAAGTCACGCAGGAGGCCATTGCGGTCCCCATTCATTTTCGCCAGCACCTTTGAACGTTTGAGGTGAACCTTGACTGTGATGAGTACGATTACTGTCATAAGACAGATAAAAGTTGTATGTAACACATGTACAACGTATGCAGAGCTGCAGGGGCTGCACACTGCATGGTGCAGTTCCTTATGCCAAGTGTCGGATTTCACTAGCCATGACTGTGCGTAGAATGACCGAGCGTGTTGGCTGCTTTCTCGTCTGTCCCCAAGTTTAAGCATCTTGAAGAAACTGGGCGATGTGATTCATGTCGAAAAACATAGATTTTGAGGAATTTCTGGTTTTCTTCAAGCACCGACTATTGGTACCTTGTCCATCAACAACACCACCATTCCAAAGATATGAGAAATTAATGTATTCTGCCTTTACTGCTTTTTCTCTGTTGTCTTCTTTTGCCTGCTCTCATTCATTTTTCTCGGTGTCTTGATGGATGTCAATCCATTTCCAATACTTGTTAGCTTTCTCTGAGTATTGCCCAAGTAATTTCAGTATAACGAATGGACAATTCAATGCGATTAGCACTGAGATTAAAGGAACGGCATCGGTCAAATGTGATCCAGGGTATCGCCCATCGAAACCTACTCCAATGAATTGCCACAAACACAATGCTACGTACGGTGTGTGGATGAATCTAACAAGCTGCAATGGTGAGTGGGCAAGTTTCTTAAATTCGGATGGTGAGCCAATTTAAATATTGTAAAAAGAACATTCAGAGAGTGGTGGATATCATGCAACTGCATTGTCTGACGATGGTTGACTGGCCCGAAACATCAATAATTTTGTTGGCATCATTAATAAAAAGAATTTTCGTCTAAAGAGTGAAGAGCAACTAACTAGAGCGATTGTCAGTTGACAAACCCCCTTTATGTTTTAAAAAATGGAGAAGGGCAAATAGTTTTGACTAACTGTCCACCAACGTATCAAGATCATTATACATTCAGCAAGTGCAACAAAATGGCACAAAACTGACAAAAAGTAGTGAGAAATTCAACGACCTGACACCTAGCCCCAACACTTCTCCGAGGCGCAAACCAACAAACTTCCAACTTGGAAAGGTCCGGTTAGGAAGTGTTGTAGAGGAGAGGGAAAACGCAATGAAGGAGAGCATGAGCTACATGCACGGCAACAAGGATGCCAAGTTGTAGTGAGACCGGTATGTCCAATAATATTACTACCTCCGACAAAGCGAAATTTGGGGCGTTTTTTAAATTTCAAATTACGCACAATAATTTACACTGTAAAATCAAAACTAATGATTGTCTCAACAAAATACAACTTTGCATTGCTCAACAAGGACATTAGAGACATCAGTCAGGCCAAATCACTCCCCTCTGATTCAGAGATCATAGTTTTTTTCTGGAGAGGAATTGTCCCTGTTTTGCGACAAAATGCGACTAGAAAAGGTTCAGTTGCAGCAAGTACCTCTATTGTGATCGCTCTGGAAATCTCGATGTCGCTTCTGTGTGCTGTGCTTGAGCTGCGATGTCAAGGATAGTCATTTCTGCCGCCACTATCCAGGTTGACATCATGGTAGGAACTGTGCAACACCTCCACACACGCCCTGGACTCCAACGTTTCGGTCCAAAATTGCCTGCAGCAATCCCTGGCGATTTCCTTAGCCACCAGAGACGCATCGCTCTGGAGGCTTTCGAAAGACGCTAGGATTGTTTGGCATGGACTTTGGGACTCTGTGCTAGCTGAGTAACGAAGTGGAGAGAGAGAGAACGCCTTGGTTTTGCATTGAAACGCGAGAGCACAACGATTCTCCTCCGCAGAATGGACGCACGCACTGTTGTGCTGGTACAGGAGAGACTGGCCTGCCTCTGACCAATTCTGAGCCATGTGCCACTCACCCGCTCGTCGCTTGTCTTCTTGCATCCAGTTGCGATGCATGGAGCTACAAGTAGGTCGTACCTCACAGCCTTGTAAAGTTGTGGTACCAACAAAAAAATCAAAAAACGCGCCAAGTTTCGCTTTTCGGAGGTAGTATAATCATTATCCCCTTACTTCGATTACTTGAATCTATCCGGCCCGAGCGAACCTGTTGGTGGACCTAATGGATCCACCGACTTGAACGCGGCGGTGCTTAATAATAATAATAAAAATAATAAATATTCGACGAGGAGACAATAATTTTAATATGGCACTAAGTAGGACGAGCTGAAGTGACATTTGGATTACTTTATTAACAATGAAAGCGATGGAAACGATGCATAAAACAATGTAAAGGGTAAGAAACATTGCCATCGCTACTGCCTCAGCAAGCAGCTAAACTTTGATCTGTATGTATCTGATCCCCGTGCCTGTAATTATTTTTCTCTTATTGGCCACAGGCCATCGTGAGAATAAAAGAATTCAACAATGGTAACAAATTACCATCAAGATCAAGGAAGATACATGTATGAAGAAAAAAGCGATGGAAAGAAAGATGATTCGAACAAGTTTTCGTACAACACTCTTCAGGAATCACCGTTGTACTAAAGAACAAAATGAGAACAAAGGAAATAATAATTATAGCAATCAAGGTAGGGTAGCAAGATACAATGACAGCACTGAAATATCGAGGTGTGATTTCTCACAAAACCGTGCAGAAAACAAGGGTATACAAGTACGAACTAAGCGTGACAAGTGTGTATCAGCAACAAAAAAATGAGAATGAATGATAATAATAAAAATACCAAACAAGAAGGTGACAAACCACATTTAGGCACAAGTGGCAACAACGTTGCCACACTACACAAACGAACATTATTTGAACAACTTAAGGGTAATAACACTATCTTTCTGGACACACAAATTCGGCTTATGAATGCGCTGACAAACAGCTTCCAAAACTTGTAACTGCAACAGAATCTAAACCATGCCGAGCACGGCACAAAACAGAAAAACAGGAATAAGAATAAGTACGGCAACAGTCAGTACTAGAGACCAAATGATTGTATGCTGAAGACTTGTTATTACGAGACATACGCAGACGATCTCGACTCACGCGCACAACCTCACACTCACTCTCACCCCCACTCAGCTCACCTTCTCCCTCACTGCTTAAACCAGACCCTGCTCCATCATCCACACCGGTTTGAGTCTCCTTCTCACTTTTATTGTCCTGCGTCTCACCTTCACCATCAACGCCAGCCGCAAATGCCGTTGCCTTCATGTTAGTTGTCATCCTCTCCGATTGTTTCCTTTGTACGTTTACCGTGAATTCATAGGTCCGGTTGTAATCTGCTGTAGATCTGCGTGGTCTGTCATTTGCTGCTTTGTTTTGTGGATAAGTCGCTGTTGTTGTTAGATGTGAAGCTGGTGTTGTTGTTGGATGTGAAGCTGGTGTTGTTGTTGCAGCCATGGTTGTTGGTCTTTCTGTTGAATCCAGCTCTGGTTCCGGTGGGACAAATCGACCGCCACGAGTGCTCCCCACCACCACAGACCTCGAAGGAGGAGGGTCAGGGGGAGGCAGAGGTGCTGTCACCACTCGAGGCACAGCCCCAGGCAAAGCACCCAGCGGCACAGACTTAGGCAAACCCGAGGGGGGCACCAATGGCGGTTCCGCACGCACCTCTAAAGAGCTGCTAAGCTCAAGCCCGTCCAACACCGATGTCAGAGGCGGCACGGCAGACAGCGGCAGGGAACTATCCTGCCGTATAGGTACTGGATTTTTCCTAGGCCTCCCGCGTTTGGGCCTCTCAGATTGTGCACTGGGTGGAAGGATGTGAAGTGATGTATGTTGTTTTTTGTTTTTTTTGTTTTTTTGTTGTTTTAAAATACGTGCGTTCAGGTGCTGAACAGCCCTACCAACATACCGACTAGCACAATGTCGGCATTCAAAGTTGTAGATAACATGACTGAGGTGGAGGGTTGGACTATCACGAAGCCTCGCAACAAAGTCCAAGCTATCCTTCACTGTGCGTTTGCAATAGTAATCTTGAACAGGCTGAAGGTAGATGCACAGCCATTTCGACATAGAGTATTGAGGGGAGGCGGTCATGGATACTATTGGTCTAACAGGGCATGTAGGTGTATGGATTTTTGGAAGGCCATAGAGTCTAGGACGAAGGGTACCAGTCGGTTTGATGCGATTAAATTCATGTTTTGATATTTGTTCTTCATTCTTTAGCTTTTTAAGATTACTATTGCGAACTATTGCAAACTATTGCAAACTATTGCAAATGCACCGTGAAGGATAGCTTCGACTTTGTTGCGAGGCTTCGTGACATTGTGCTAGTCGGTATGTTGGTAGGACTGTTCAGCACCTGATCGCACGTATTAAACAACATACAACACTTCACATCCTTCCACCCAGTGCACAATCTGAGAGGCCCAAACGCGGGAGGCCTAGGAAACATCCAGTACCTATACGGCAGGATAGTTCCCTGCCGCTGTCTGCCGTTCCGCCTCTGACATCGGTGTTGGACGGGCTTGAGCTTAGCAGCTCTTTAGAGGTGCGTGCGGAACCGCCATTGGTGCCCCCCTCGGGTTTGCCTAAGTCTGTGCCGCTGGGTGCTTTGCCTGGGGCTGTGCCTCGAGTGGTGACAGCACCTCTGCCTCCCCCTGACCCTCCTCCTTCGAGGTCTGTGGTGGTGGGGAGCACTCGTGGCGGTCGATTTGTCCCACCGGAACCAGAGCTGGATTCAACAGAAAGACCAACAACCATGGCTGCAACAACAACACCAGCTTCACATCCAACAACAACACCAGCTTCACATCTAACAACAACAGCGACTTATCCACAAAACAAAGCAGCAAATGACAGACCACGCAGATCTACAGCAGATTACAACCGGACCTATGAATTCACGGTAAACGTACAAAGGAAACAATCGGAGAGGACGACGACAAACATGAAGGCAACGGCATTAGCGGCTGGCGTTGATGGTGAAGGTGAGACGCAGGACAATACAAGTGAGAAGGAGATTCAAACCGGTGTGGATGATGGAGCAGGGTCTGGTTTGAGCAGTGAGGGACAAGGTGAGCTGAGTGGGGGTGAGAGTGAGTGTGAGGTTGTGCGCGTGAGTTGAGATCGTCTGCGTACGTCTCATAATAGCAAGTCTTCAGTATACAATCATTTGGTCTCTAGTACTGACTGTTGCCGTACTTATTCTTATTCCTGTTTTTCTGTTTTGTGCCGTGCTCGGCATGGTTTAGATTCTGTTGCAGTTACAAGTTTTGGAAGCTGTTTGTCAGCGCATTCATAAGCCGAATTTGTGTGTCCAGAAAGATAGTGTTATTACCCTAAAGTTGTTCAAATAATGTTCGTTTGTGTAGTGTGGCAACGTTGTTGCCACTTGTGTCTAAATGTGGTTTGTCACCTTCTTGTTTGGTATTTTTATTATTATCATTCATTCTCATTTTTTTTGTTGCTGATACACACTTGTCACGCTTAGTTCTTACTTGTATACCCTTGTTTTCTGCACGCTTTTGTGAGAAATCACACCTCGATATTTCAGTGCTGCCATTGTATCTTGCTACCCTACCTTGATTGCTATAATTATTATTTCCTTTGTTCTCATTTTGTTCTTTAATACAACAGTGATTCCTGAAGAGTGTTGTACGAAAACTTGTTCGAATCATCTTTCTTTCCATTGCTTTTTTCTTCATACATGTATCTTCCTTACCCTTTACATTGTTTTATGCATCGTTTCCATCCCTT